GCAATAACACAATAATTTACTGCAGCATTATTACTGCAGCATTTTTAAAAGGATATTGCTGTAGCATAGGTGTGATACTGTAGCATCAGCTAATATATTACTATAATATTTTAAAAATATATCACTGTATCAGAGGTGTGGTTCTGTAGCATTTTAAAAAATATTACTATAGCATTTTTAAAAATATGATGGGATTAAAAACTATAGCAATAAAAAAAGGTTACTGTAACAATAAAAAAATTGGAAGGCCATGCTTCGCACGAGGCGCACACAAGTAGTTGTAAAGGAGGAAAGAATGGCGCAAAGGATGTGTACAGTGATGGTTTAAATATCATAGTTATTTTACTAAATCTACGGATTTCTATTTAACTACCCATCCAAATACCGAATTCACCCACAAAGCAACTTTCTCAATTATTTCATAGTCACGTTGGGGGGAAAATGTATTTCATGAGAAATACCAAGACCTGGAAAATGCTTTCTCCGCGAAAGCGCTTTCCTTTGTCAGTTGAAAACAACCAAACGCGCTTGGGCAAAAAAAGGCGAAATAGCCTCTATCTCAAAAGCTGCCATAAATAATTACTGAGTCAGATCACGAGGGCATAATGTAATGAAGCAAATTTTTATAACGTACTATGAAACATAATGATAATATCCCGAGGTTGGGACCTGAATAGGTGTGAAAAAAACTCACATGTGAGGAACTATGGTGGCACTACAGGCACACCTCCAATCACACCTTAGAGCACACCTCTCTCTCAGCTACAGTGCACGAGGCTCACTTTAGATTTAAAAAAAAATCTAAAATGGGCCCATGCACTGTAGCTGAGAGAGGGGGTGTGTGTCCCAAGGTGTGGTTGGGGGTGTACCTGTAGTGTTTTTCGATGAAATATTTGTGTTTGAATTCAAAATCTCTGAATATATGTTGATCGTATAATTATAATAATTTTAATATTAGAGATTAATAAAATTAAAGTCATTTGACGATTAAAATATCTAATCTTAGCTTTTTAAAATACGACGAAAATATAATGAACTCTCTTGTAGTAGATGAACTACATTTTCGATACCATCTAATTTTATCATATTCGTTTTATATTTATACGCATATATTCATGTATACTGATGTCTGAATCTAATTTTATCATATACAATTATGATTTTTCTTGAAAAATATATATTTTATATTTTTATCCATATAAAGATACAAATATGATACTAGAGCAATGAGTATGAGCTGTTAGCTCATTTTGTACAATGAGCTACATACTCACAAACATAAAGCTCTATACCCATCCGATGTGACAACTAGGTAAGTCTAGATAGATATTAATGTATATTTCATTGGAAAATAATAGGGGCACACCCCCAATCACAACCTTAACTACATCTCCTCTCTCATTTATTACAGTGCATCGGGCCCCACATAAGATTTTAAAATTTTAAAATCCTACGTGAGAATCGGTATACTGTAGCAATGAGAGAGGAGATGTGGCTAAGATTTTGGTTGGGGATATGCCTCTAGTGCCACCGAAATATTATAAAATGAGCTATCCGTATCAACAGTTACGATTAAAAAAAAGATGAGATTGTAGAGGAGAGAGTAGCCTACCAACAAAAAAAAAAGGGGGAAGATGAGACACGTTCATGTGCTCTAGCCAGGAGTAGGATGTGACTCGTCAGCGGTCTGTTACGGACTGGAATGGACTGGACAGACCCTGACCTTTCACTCGTCTAAGATAGAGATGCCTCTTTGCCAAAATAGCCCACCATTTTATATATTAGCCATATACGAAATATATGTAAATACAAATAAAAATTTTGTAACAAAAGTGACAGGACATTGGCATATTAAGAATTATAATTAAATAATCGGCAATCCTGCCGCTCGAGGTTGCAGACTCCAACGCGGGGTATTTTTGTCGCCTTGGGAATTAGACAAACCCTACATCAATCAAACAAGGAAAATAGGGAGAGGTGCATTTCTAAGCCTCCTTTTTCATGCGGTTCCATGTGAAACAAACTAAAGAAATTAAAAACCACTGTTGAAGAAACCATGGGAGAATGTACAGAAACACGAACCCAACATGCCCTTTTAAGTATAGTCATGCAAATTTCAAGGTGATTCATCTAATTATATCATACCTCACCTTAGGTACGTTCAGATCCGTAGCAAGGATTATTTTTTGCAATGGGTAAAAATAATAGTGGTCTACGAGTATGTTCACTGAATTGTTCTCGGCGGCGGATTTGACATTCTGTTGTTTGATGGAATATACAGCCAGCTTCTTAACGAGGCGACGATGAGATTTTTGGACGGCGCAAGGAGCGCTAGCAGTGTTGCGTTGCCGAAGGCCACACTGATGCTGGCACTGTCAACACCTCCGAGAGCAAGTGGAGGAGGGGAGGTTGTAGGCGGAGACCCGTTTGCAGCATCGGTGTGGCCTTCGGCCACTTTCTTGCTGCCCAGGGCAAGCCTTGACTAGCTACGCCACTGGGTACGTTGATGTAATTAATCCAAAAACTTTCTAAAAAGCAAATCCATTTTTAAGGGGCAAGAAAACTAACGTAGTACATTTAAATGGCAAGTTTCATAAACCCCCTCGCTTTTGGGATTTCTGGAAGTTTAAGCTAGTTTTAAACAACTTGATAAATACTAGGGAAAATAAGGGAGGACATACAAGTGCAAAGTGACTGCAGCTACAAGGTATTTATAAATGTTATTTAGCCCCTTCTTAGATCACCTGATTACTGGGTCCAAATTAAAAAAGAACCCCGCACGCGAAAAGAATTAGGGCCAGCCTAACGAAGGCCCACGAGCACGACTCACTCTTGTTTTCTTCTTTGGGCCGAAGCCCAATAAATAGTTTGAAATGTTTGATCACAAGCACATAATTAATATTAATACAATCATAAATTATGAGTTTAACGTGTTGAATAGGTTTAAATATGACGGGGTTTTTTGCGGCTGCCGCCGTCCATCGTAAACGGTGCTGCATTTTACACGTTTTCCTTGTATACTCTGACCGCTTTGACCTTCTTTTTGATATCAGTCCTTAGCTATTAATATTTTGAAATTGGTCCCTCAAATATTGAAATTGCTGTTCGATCTCTCAAAGCGTACCGAGTTATTTCAAAGAGATTAATGAGTATCGGAGGAGATTTCTCTCCTTGACAATGATATGTCACAATCCTCACCAACTCAAATTCTTTCTCTTACTTTATGAGTATGGTGGAGATTGTGCCACATCAGCGTCAAGGAGGAAAATTCCCTCCTTGACAAGGATACTCATTAATCTCTATTTCAAATTAGTGATTTTTAGTTTGGAGGAGTATTTAAAGGAAGTTTGCAAGTGTAAATAGAGCAATCGGATCTATACATACATTATTTGGTATATAATTTTATAATTAGGAAAGATAAACGCACTTGTATTTTTATAAGAAAAATTGCAATAGATGCCGCGGCAAATTTGGTGGGGAGGAACGCTGTAGGCTTCAAAAAAGGAAACTAAAAAAGTAAATATGAATTTCGTCTGCATCAAAATAATCTTTTCAAATTAAGATGGAAAACTACTCCCATCAAAATTTTCTTAGATGGTAAAGTTATGTAGATTTTGCACTAAATATTTTGAACCAAACACTAAATTCGCATTGGAAATACATTCCCTTGATATGATTGAAAATATCCAACAATGAATTTGGAGTTGATCTCCTTGCAGCAAACTAAACAACCTCGCCTTTTGGGATTTCGTTGAGAAAGCGATTACTTGAGGATAAAGTGTTAACAACTAATCCAATCTGAATTTGCAGTTTAGACGAAGTAAATTAGTGGACTAATTTGGAAGAAATAATAAGTTTAGAGGACAGAATAGAAATTTCAAAATATGAAATAGGTAAGGGATCAATATGGTAAAAGACCCTAACTGTTATCTGAGCATGTTTTGTGCCTAGGGGTGCCAAATGGTTTGGTTCCGCATCCGTATCTGAACGGATGCGGATATGATAAGCTATTTTTAAAACCAGTCGGATACGATTTCGGATACGGAATATATATTCGGATACGGATAGGGATTTATGGAAATTACATATTTTACAGAAAAGTTCACATAACACATAAAATTTGCACTTGTCCAAAACAATGTAAATTATATGTTACAATAAATACTTTATTTACATTTACCCTTCTTAATGCTATAATTATATTCCAAATATGCACATAAAACCCCAAATATTTATAATATTTTTAACACCATACATTATCTTAAATTATAAAGTAAATGTAGAATTGCATTTTTTATAGAATAGTGCCCAATTTTATAAAAAAACTCTACATTTAGTAAAATTTACAAAATAAACCCTAGAATTTTGCACAAACAACCATAAATATTCATAATGTTAAAATAATTTGAAACTTTGCATAAATAACCCCAAAAGTAATATATTTCTAGAAAGAACCCAGGACCTATATAAGATTTATAGATTAAGCCTTATAAACTTTAAAAATAAACCTCTAAAAAATTATACGCAACATGTTGTTAATGATGAGAAAATTACAAATAAGTCCTCAAAGATTGCGTGATTACATTTAAAATCAAACTTTTGATAAATTATACAAGAAATTGTGTAAAATATATATCCACGTATTTGCATGTATTTGCTATTGTTGTATTATATTTTTATCATTTATGACCACATACATTTATGTAAGGAGAAGCCTACAACCACATAGATTTACCCATTTGGTTGTAATTTATACATAGGTGTACTAATTCATCTCCGATTCATACTCATTTGTCGAATATCCGTTTCATATCCGTGATCGTATCCGATCTGGTTCTCAAATATCCGAACCGTATCCGTTTCCGATGAATGCGGTTATGATTAAGGTTTTTTCTTACCGAAAATAATACGTATCTGTATAAATATGGTAAGTACCATATCCGAACCGTATCGGCTCCGTTAACACCCCTATATGTGCCGGTTGCTGTTATCTCAGAGAGAGAGAGAGAGATGGCGCTTGAGAAGGCTAAAGAGATCGTGTCCTCGAACGCCGTCGTCGTCTTCAGGTGCCACTTTAGAATTAATCCTAACCTCCTCTCGCTTCAATTTCATTTCATTAATTAATTAGTAAAAGTGAACATCTCGTCTCTTTAGATTTTTTTTTTCTCTTCACGAGGAAATCAAAATTTGAAATCGGATGCGTAAATTCGAAAACTTTCCCATTTTTTATTATTAAAAACGAACAATGATATGAAATTCTACTAGGATATATATTAAGTTCGTATCGATCGACGTGAAAAAGGGTAGGAAACAATGGAACACATGGATTTACGATGCGTGCGATTATCCACGTTCTCCAATATTATAATCAATGAATATTGTAGTCAGCCTCTCAAGCCCCAATTCTGCCTATATGTTGTGCCCTGCACGACGGCAAAACAACCGCGAAGGATTATCGCTCGAAACAAGGGGTGGAAACGAATCAAATATTTAACAAATAGTTTGATATTTATTCGCCTAGGTATTCGGTCATATTCTATTCGATAGTTCATTTTTTTAATAAACGAATAGTTTTTATTATTCGGTTCATAAATGAATAAAATTTAATCATAGGTATATTTGGTTTTTTTATTTAATAAACTATTCGTTTATACAGTTTAGTCATTTAAAATTTCATTTTCCTGCTTGCAAATGTGGATACATAGTTTTTTTTATATTATATATCACTAGGTTGCATATTCATTAGGTATATCATGTTTGGCTCTATTGCAAGACTAGGAGAATGAATATTTGCCGTATATCTACTGAATAATTCGCAAAGACTACCCAAACACTTTTAATGAATATTCGCGAATAGTTATTAAATATTTGAATAATGTCCGAATTGAATTCGAATACTAGTGGTATTCGATTTAATTCTTCCACCCCTACTCGAAACTAATAGTATTTTAATAGTTTTTGTGATGAAGATACGTAAAAATGATGGTGAAAAAGTATATTATTTTGGGATTTGTGTGACTACTATATAAATAAGTTTTGTACTGGTAGAGTTTATTGTTGGGAATTTAACGCCTAAATCCCTTAATGCAACGGAAACGCGGTATAGAAAACAGTACACCAAGATTTAACGAGGTTCGGCAACTGCCTACGTCCTCGGGAGCCACACAGATAATTTCTTATTAATTAAACAAGAAATTACAATTTTAGGAGCAGATCCCTAAACTGGGATTTCTCAGATAAACACTGTAGCTACAGTGTTAATAGTCAAAGGGTATGAACCCTTTCAATTTCTCTCACTTGAGAATAAATAACCCCACTATAAAACCCCTCTTTCTTTTCCTCTCTCTACTTTAATCTCTTTTCTTAATCTCCCCTCAATACTCATCAATTGAGAGCTGGAGATAAAAAGGCCCAAATCGCAGCTGCGATTTCAACGAAGAGGAAATGAACGCTGCTGCGTTTCTGAGGGTTCCGCCGCCAGAGGGAAAGTCGGAGGAGAGACTCACACAAACCCTAGGGCACAGAAGGGGGTTTATATAGGCAGAGATGACGAGCTGGCGACAGCCTGTCGCCAGCGAACAAACCCTGACGCAAAGGTCGGGTTCGCCAAAACAAACGCAGAGCTAGGAGGTCGACGCAGAGCTCGCCATCGACGCAGAGCTCGCCATCGACGCAGAGCTCGCCATCGACGCCAGCTTCGAACGAACGCAGAGCTCGAAGCTTCGAGCTCGTCCTGTCGCCTGGACCTCGCCGCCTGGACCTCGCCGCCGCCATCCTGGAGCTCGTCGGAGCTCCTCCACCGCCGGAGGTTGGTATCCACCCCCAACCTAACATTTATATTATAAGTTTTGTACTGGTATAGTTCATATTATAAATTACTAATTTATATATTTAATTGTATATACCTCCCCCAAAAAAAAAAATTTCTAAATACGTCCCTGCATGTAAACCATGTTATACAATAACTATTATTCTCAATTAATCATTTTGTGCTTTTTAATGATATGTTATTTGCGTTGGGTGTAGCAAGAGTTATTGCGCGTACAGCAATCAGGTTAAGCAGTTGCTAGCACACCTGAAGGCAAGTTTCAAAACCATAGAGCTGGATCATGAAAGTGAGTACCGACTTCAATTTTCTTTTCTTTCCTTTTTTTTTTCAATTAAATTTTAGTCTTCAACATCAGCATTGCTAAGTGTTTAATTGTGTGCTCGCGTATTTGTTCGATATGAAGGTGATGGATCAGAGATTCAGTCTGCACTTGCAGAATGGACAGGGCAAAGGACCGTTCCTAATGTTTTTATAGGCGGTAAACACATGGGAGGCTGCGACAGTATGCATCTTTATTTTCCGTTCTCTCTTTTTATGAGTTAATTGCGCATGCATCCTTGTATACCTGCGTCGTGTCGTCTGTTATCGCCTAAGTTTGATACTGACAGATACACCACGCTTTGAAACTGAACTGATCACCGTCGTCGCCCTGTTGGGTGATGCGTTATTTCTGGGGAGGTTACAAGTCTCTAATGGTGTTCAGTTCCGGTTGGGTCTCTCTGTCAATATTAAACTAAAACAGAAAACTTATAGCACAGGGGTCTATGTGCAATTAGAACCTTTTCTGGTCTTTTATTTCGGGGGGTTGCTCCTGATGCATGTATTGTTAACTCCTGAATACTATGATCTTAAACAGGTGTTGCTGCAAGGTACTACCAAGGCAAGTTGGTGCCTCTTCTTACCTGATCTTAAACAGGTGTTGCTGCAAGGTACTACCAAGGCAAGTTGGTGCCTCTTCTTACCGAAGCCGGAGCTCTAAATTCAGCATCATAAGGCAAGGTACTACCAAGGCAAGTTGGTGCCTCTTCTTACCGAAGCCGGAGCTCTAAATTCAGCATCATAAGCAGCAGCAGCAGCAGCAGTAGGATTGGTTTTGTTTTGTGTGGGCTGGAGAGGTATCCAGCTAGTGGATGATAAACTCTTTGAAACTATAATAAGACTAGTGTTGGTGTTGATGTTTATCTTATGACTTTCGTTTTAACACATGTCCAAAATTTAGTTTCTCGTATAATTTTACAATTCTTGCATGTTTCCTTTTTCTCTTCAACTCCATATGGTCATCAACTGCAAATAAAGTTTGTCGTGTACTATATTGCAGAAGTTGTATCTGTTATATATTCATCCCATGCAGAAACATGTCAACTAAAATAGTCTGCAGGGTATAGATTTCTAAGGACACCACATTTTGCGTGATGGCCAAAAAATGATAACAAATTTGCTACTCCCGTTTATGATCTGCATTTGTGTGCTTGAGACTGCCACCAGCGAAAAGAATTCAGGTGGCTTGCAGTCTTGAGTTACTGAGGGTCAACTTTAATTTCAGTTCTGCTGCAATCTTTTGAGGTCAACATACAAATGCCACCGGATTTATTCAGAATTAAACATGTAACTTACAAAAAATAACCCACCCAAACAGAGATTAAGTTTAACCAGAAAGGAAACAGGATAAACAGAAAATGATGCAGGAATGACATCCACAGCAACCTGTCTGTTTTCATCATTATATCAAAAGCAGCAACCATGAAGCTAGCTACAGAAAACAACCTCAGAAAGTAGCAGAAAAGATTATCATAGCTAACTTAGCACAAATTATACCTACATCCATCTCACAGCGGTAAATGATATATGTCTCAAAACCCTAAAAAGAAAAAAGACAGGTAAATGAAGAGGATACATTATACTTTATTTTCTCCTCTAGAATTTCAAATAAAGGATCCAAGCATCATGTTAAATGGAAGGACGACGATTCAGAAGGAATTGTTTTCAAAGATCATCTCGACCAAATCCATCTCCCTTTTCACATTCTCAGGCGACAGTGGCAACATCAGATCCCAATTCATTGCTGTCTCAAAATCCTCATTACCTTCGCTGCTGCTGCTGCTGCCGCCACTAGCCATAGCACCAAACTCTAGTCGATCAAAGAGATGTCCAACATCATAAATCCCCTCGTCCACATTTCTGTTCTCAATGCCAAGATCAGGGCCACCGCAAGCAGGAGCTTCATAAGTACCGGTAATACTCTTAAGTGGCATGCTTAAAACTCCCTTCCACTCTTCTTTATTACCTACAGTTAAGGGTGAGATGAACCAAATAATTAACAAACGGTTCATTAATTGTTAGAGCAAGTATTCGGTTACACTCGATTTAGTAGATCGTTTCATAGTAAACAAATAGTTTTTAGTATTCGGATTCATAAATGAATAGAACTTCATCAGGTGTATGTTCGATCCATTTGCCTGTTAAATATTCGTTTAAATTTGATCGCTTATAATTTTGTATCATTACACAAGATGTTATGTTTTTAACCTACTTATGTTTTCTATTGCTTAAAGGGCGTCAAATCGGTTTTTTAAACAAATATTCAAATTAAAGATTTATACATCAAAATTATAAAAGAATAATCTTCAATTATGAATTTAAATACTGTCTAGAAACCAATCTCGTTAGAAAAAAAAAGTATTTCTTTAACCAAATAAGAATATCTTCTCAGTTAAATAATTTAATAAGTAAAATGTACAAATTATTAGTAAATAAAAATACCTAAATCTTTGATAAATATTCGTGAAATTTGACACCAAGCACTGGAATTTGAACTCAAAAAATTTCCAGAAATGGATATTCAAATTCAAATTCCACTTTTAAAGTTTTTAAACAAATACAAATACAAAACCTTAGTATTCATTTCAATTCGATAGGTTACCAGGCATACCTGCAGTAGTACTCTTCTGGTTATCAAATGGGAGCACTGAAGTGGGTGCTGTTGTCAAAGTTGAGGTTAAGCTCTTAATGTAGTTCTGCAAGAGGGACCCTGACTTGAAATACTTTGAGCTCCGACAACAACGGCGACGAGAGAACTGCCTCCTCTTGGTTGCATTCCAGTGGTTCTTAATCGAGTTCTCTGTTCGTCCAGGGAGACGTTTTGCGATCTCAGCCCACTTGTTTCCTATCTCGGAATGAGCTTGGATAAGAACCTTATCCTCCTCCTCAGTCCATGTATCTTTCTGTATGCATTAAAGAACTATTATAGTTGATATATTTACTTCTAACTTAAAAGCAAAACCTCAAAATCACTGGTCATGCTACAACAAAACTATTCATGCTACATGATAATACAAAATATTAAATTTGTTTTTATGCTACAGTATTATTTTCAGCCATAGATCTACTATTCACGTTGCACCGGAGTTTTTAACATGAACACCATTTGTACTACAGTATATTTTTTGAATTTCAAACATTCTCTATATGTAAGCTGAAGTAATGTTTTTTAACCTTGAAAACACTGTTCAAATCTCCTTAATTTTTTTGGTTCTTGATGATGATTTTAACTTTTATCCGACATTTTACAAATATAAATCTTTTTTGGCTCTATTATAGAAAATTGACAACACTTGCTAATTGGTATATTTTTTTGTTAACTGGTTTGGATATTCACTTTGTAAATAGTAATAAAAAAATTTGTCGCTGAAGTTTTTTATAAATAGTTATATACAAAAACCATATTATCAATTTGGCAACAGATATACCTTGGTGAACAATACCCACAGCAACAAGCAGGCTTAATATTAGTCTTGTTATACCAAAGAACCTATCATGTGATTGTGAAGAATTATATTTAATCTTAACATTTCAAAATATCCACTATGCTGAAAAGTAATTACATGGTTTAATGCTAGTGCATAGTCCAAATATCAGTATAATAATCAGGTCTTAATATAAAAATTGATAAACTGAAAACTGATTTACAAGATGCAGGAAACTGAGCAAGATGAAGTCAACCAAACAAATGAACATCTAATTTTTAGATATTAAAGATGGGTTATTCGCATAAAGGACCACAAACACAAATAATAGTAAGAAGACCAACGGCTGGCCTCGAATAACTCTTTTTATGCAATAGCAATAAGCATTAGAGTGAGACTGGCTTACATTCAGAAGGATTTGGAAAGCATTCAAATTCAGAGGTTGCTATTCAAATGGAAAAACCACTTTATTCAAATTGATTCAGTGAGAAAGCAAAGGCTCCAGGTGCCGCACCTTCTGGTCTGGCTTGTTCCATAGCTATTTAGCGTGCCTAAAAAATTCAAAAGAATCGAGTTTTCTTTCCTATGCATTAACTATGGGTAGCACGCTGCTTATATCTATGGTCAATAAATATCTAAAACCCACAAAATACGAAAAAGATTTTCTACTTTGGGCAGATATCTAAACAATCACTTCTTTCAACAATTTTTTTGGAATTTGAGCATTCTAGATAATAGATAGTTTCCGATCACCTTGTTGTACCTACATGATTGATACCTAGGACAAGAACTTAAATCTGCTTGTCTTTTCATTTCTTAAGTAATGTCGGCAATGAAGATTGACTTGAATCTAATAGATAGTTTAGATAGCTTATGAATAGATTTGAATAGGAAGGATCAAGCAGCAAATTCACTGGAAGTAGCGGAGTCCATTCACTACTACTATGTAGTTACAATAATTATCTGAAACCTCTGAAGAGAAATCCATAGGGAAAACCAAAAGTATAAAAACGTTGCTACTGTCTCTATATTGGAAACTAATAATGCAAGGAGTAATAATGTGATCTAGTAAAGCTTAAGAGGCTACTGAAAATATCAGCAAAAATAACATAAAACTTCTCTTATAAGCATTCACAACATCACCATCCTCAACCCTAAAAAAATATTTAAAAAATTGCTTGAAATAAAAAATTAGTTTTAAAAAAGTGTTTGATAAAGATACATATGTATACCCATCCTAAGCAAGTCAAAAACTAAACAAGAAAACAGAATAATGTATGAAGAGGGCAAAGAACTGAAAACTAAAAATGCTTTTAATTAGTAATAATAGAAAGCAGAGAAGCAAGTTAAATAGTAAACAAAAAAAATAGAATAATGTACATCTTGACATGAGAAAACTGGAAGCAAAAGTTCTTAGAGCATTGTTAGATCATGAAGAAGATAACTACAACGGGGTGCTCCTATACATGTTTGACTTCAGAAATGGCTTACTTAACCACGTCTTATACACAAAGAATGTCATATTATCTACACATATAAAGATATAAATCATGTTGACCGTTATGGAATGTGCTGTTTTGCTGGTGGTGGTGGTGGTTCTTTGGGGGGGGGTGGCTGGGGGGGCGGCGCGATGCCTGAGTCAATATCTGATCTCTTGTGGTCCTGACCCCCACCTAATAGACGAATACTGTAACATACCATTCCTCTTCAGGCTTTAAAGTTGGATTCAACAGACACACTGGAATTAGTGTTTATTATCTATACTAATACATCAAGGGCCAACTGGGGTAAACACTATTTTTGGGGAATGGAGGAATGGTCATCCGTTCCATTGTAATCTTAAGGACATAAATGTAATTTCACCCTAAAATTTTTATATTTCAGGCTGTAATTTCACCCTAAAATTTTAATATTTCAGGCAAGTAGATGATGTTCATGGACCGCACAGTTCTTCTGAAGAAAAGTATATACTTGTGAAAAGACAAAGGCGGTGATAAGAAAAATATAGTCATATTTAGAAATATTAAACTTTTTCATATAAGGCCCTAACTTTTTAACTAATTGGGATTATAACCTTATTCTTATGTGTTTTCATTTTTACCATGAAAAATTAATTTTCATTGTAAATAGCTTTAGTTGATATTAACTACAATGGAAAGCCTTATCCCCTAGTAACTCCGTTCTTATATCTCAAATTCAAAGTTAAAAGAGTAGTACAGTATAACATTATTTTAAAAATTATATCATGAACATTTTGAAGTATTTTTTGAATAAAGTTAAAATCCGGCATTAAACTTAAAAATAGGTGAAACTTTAGGGTACCATAATAATCCCTTTTCATATAAGAATTAGGATAAATATGGTCTACTCTCATTGCATGGTGCATTTGCGCATGCGGTAATGCTATATAACTGAAATCCATGACAGATTTGAATGACTTATCAACTCTAATACATACGCTATAACCTCTAATTATTAAATAAAATTTCTCATAAAATAAAGTTTTGCCAGAAAGAGAGAGGTTTAAGATCGTTATCGATGCTATGGAAACAATAGATCTCCATAGAATATTAATGTCCATCTCAGCAATTCACATTTTCCAAGCATTAACTTTTGAAACTAAATTACACAACTATGCAGACAGATACAAATATAGATAAACCAACTATATGAAAAACTATGTATACAGAGATCTCCTCGCAAAAATTATGCATTTAACTTGCAATAACTAGAGAGGGGCACTATCTAATTATAAATATAGACTGAAAAACAATGCATTTGTAATCTCATATTACTAGTTGCCAGCTAAATATAACACATAAATGATATGCACGCTTCAGTCTTGTGGTGGTAGTGTAAACATGAAACACACACATCATGTACCATACCATACTGGTGCACTATTTCTTTGTTGTAAATTATTCATGTTACACACATACATGAAAGATGATGCTACTAAAGAAGGAAAAAAATGAAAGGAAAATGAAAGAAAAGGAGATTACCAGTTGGTGATAGATTGCACAATAATTAAGTTGCCTTAAAAACAAAGGGAACATAATGTATTTATCTTCTGAAATTATAAATTTATCAACACCAAAGAGATCCTATAATTAGCAGGACATTTTATTGGAGAAATAAAGAGGTAAAGTGAACCTTGATGTTAGGCCTCAAATGATTGTGCCATCTCTCCCTGCACTGTTTTCCAACTCTTCCAGTCAACATTTGGGCTATATGAGACCATCTCCTCACTCCATATTTCTCCACCAGTCCAACTAACAGTCTACAAAAATAAATAGATCATCATTAAAAACACACTTCACCATGTTAAATAATAATTTCCATTTCTTAAATAAGAAAGAAGACAAGGAAAATTTATGAAATACAATCTGCAAATTCATGATCAACATAATAACAGTAATACTAACAAAAACAACAACGCTAATTAGTCAAAATTGACAATCAACTTTACATGCATACAAAGAAAGAAATGAAAGGGGTTAGATCCAAACTCGACCCTTACTTATCTTCTTCAAGCGTCCACTGCCCTTTCACCACATTGATCTTTCTGTTGGCTGTTTTATCACCATTTTTTTTCATCTGTGTGCACTTGCTATTCATGATAGGACCTTGATCACATACTAATTTGGTACATTCAGCAGCTAGATTTGAGACGTTATTGGGGGATGAAAAAGATTTGAGAGGCTCAATACTACGAGTCACACAGGTAGAAAGATGAGATTTTTTGTTATCATCTACATGATCTATCATAAAGCAATCACTGTCCTCTATGGCTTTCTGCTGATTGCTGTTGCAGATCGACATGTCAACCATTTGTTGACGGAAGCCCCCAATAGCTACCCCAACATTGTTTCCAGCATTAACATCCCCTAATGGCAACAAGCCTGCATTGGTGCTGTGAGGTTGCATGGTCCCGTCAAGGACAGAAGAACAATAAGAGGGAGTATTTGCTAAAAATTGATCATTATAATCATAATATAGATCGTGAAGATTTTGAAAACCATTTGTTTCAACAAGGGAATCAAATGCGAAGGAACCATCTCCAACATGACTTTTGAAACTATCAAACTCCATGGAACAATGAGGAAGTGAGAGAGAGGTTTGGGTGGGCTGGGGATAGGGGAAGGGTGGAGGCACTAAGAGGAACCAGTTCGAGGGTTGAATTTGGACAGTGTCTGAATGAGAACTGGAGGGCTAAAAGCATGTTCTTGTAAATTACAGCCGTTGATTTAACTTTAATCTGACGGTTGAAATAACACAGTTATTGTGACTGTTAAGCTTCCTTTCTCTGAAAGGTGTTGAGATTGGTTGGGGATTTCGCCAAACGGCATGCATGAACGAGCAATGATTTCAAGGACAAGTCATTTTTGGAAGGGTCTGGGTCAAAGAAATGTACAAGTGGCATGCACGTGATGATTATTGAATTCAATTTTCTTGCCCAAATTTAGGTTTGTTAAGGAAGAACACATGGAATACCATCTTATCCTACACATGGAATACCATCTTATCCTGGCTTTTTTATGTTTAAGTTGCCTGTTAAGCGTTACCTCGCCGGAGTCCTTATATTTCTATTTCGAACAAAGGAAATAGAAGAAAAATAATGACAGACTTTATCTACAGTCAAATGCTTACCAAATATGCTTACCAAATATGATAACTCCTCCGCATTTTTATGTATCACGAAGCATTTGAGACTTGAGGTATAAGAGTTCCAAATAGTAAACCTTTCTGGAAATGAAGAACAAAACATAAAAAAGGGTGCTAATTTATTTTCTGAATAAACCAAGTCCATGTACTAGCCAAGACTGAGAAGAAAGAGAGCACTGAAAAGGCCACTTATGGTAGAGCTTTAGCAAGTTTAAGTAGGCCAAACTTGGTATTCTACAACACTCTCATTGATGAATAGCTTTAAGATTAAATTGCCTTCCACTTATTTCCTTCTTTCAATTTGGTAATAACCCTAAATAATTATATTTTTATTTTTCTTAAACTTTTTTATAGGTTTATTTGTTCTGAACTTATTAACAATGACTTTTTACATGGTTTTATACAAATGACCCTTAAAAATTTGCACAGGGATTTTGACAGGGGGTTCTCACCAGACCTTGTGTGACATGGGCAAGCCTCTAAGGCTTGGTTTGGTAGGAGGTGAGGAAGGGTGAGGGGAGGGATAAAACTAAAAATCCTCTTCGGTAGGAGGTTTTAGAGGGGGAGGTGAAGTTTGGTGGAGTGAGGTGTAGAGAAAGCAGAAAATGAACAAAAGATGAGGAGAGAGAAAAATCCCTCCAATTTGGAGGGATACAGACGGATTGAGAATATTTGTTTTACAACTTTATATCCTAACAAATCTTTCATAATTACCTAATTACTTTTCCTCATTAATGTGTAGTGAAGGATACTTCTAAAAAGTAATATATCTCTGTTTTCAATCGTGGACTATCTCATGTCTTAGGTGGACAAGATCTTCAGCTAAACTCGAGCTTGAGGTTGGACTGTCTGCAATAATGTGTAGGCAATTCCAGCTTGAGATTGGACTATTCAACTAAAGTCAAGTATGTTAATAAGCGAGAAATTCTATTACTTATTAGTTTTTTTATCAAGTTGAATGTGAGCATGTTTATCCCTAATGTTAATTATGTATCAAGCATGATACATACGTAAGGTTGACATAAGGAATTTTTGGGTCATTTTCATTTAACAAGAAATATTCTCCGCAAAAGGGTATTTTGTACTTTAACTAACTCAGCACCTCACCTCCCTTTCCCATCCCCTCAACCAAATATGAAAAGGATGCTTACATAAAAACTAGCTTAGCTTTTGTCCAAATTGCAATTTACCACGTTAGTTTTTTATATTTTTATAGAAACCACATAAATTTGTTCAAAAAAGACATGTTCTCAATGTCACACATTCTGACAAATTCTGCTCAAAAAAGGCCTAAAATGCTCATTCTATCATCACCGTCTTCTCCTCTCTCCATCTCCTCCCTCCTCAAACCCTAACCCCAGCCTCTTCATCCTCCTCCTCTCCCCTTCCTCCCTCTCCCTCCTCCCCTAATTTCCCTCCCCTCTCCTCCCTCTTCCTCCCCGAGCCCCCCTCTCCTATTCCTTCCCGAGTGGGTAGTTGGAACTAGGGTTAGGGTTTTTGGGGAGGTGGTGGTCATAGGGTAGTGACAGTGTTTACGGTCGGGTTTTAGAGAGGATTGAAGAGGAAAGGAGAGGGAAAAAGTATGGCCATGGCGGTGGTAAATATTGAGGGGAGACATGAAGGGAGAAGGGAGAAGGAAGAAATAGGGGCGGACCCACATATAAGAAACCGGTGTCACGTGACACCAATTTTCTATAGGATCCCAAGAACCTGCCCCCCATTCTCCCATATTAACCTTACCTATAACCCAATCCCCAGTAAAAAAATTTGCCTATTACTGTAGTAAAAAAAAGAATGTTGTGCCCTAGAAAATCGTCCATGTCCTAACGTCGGTCGCCGAAGGGCATCTGGTACTCCTACATCTAATTCCTCTCTTCCTCTTATTGTGCTTCTCCGAGTCTGCGGCTCCATGATTCTTCATGAAGTCTCCTTCTCCTTGCCAATTTTGAAGCCTACAGCCTCATCATCTTATTTCACCCCTAAGGAGTGATTATCCATCGACCTCGCTTCTCTTACGACCGTGAGTTTTTTTCCTAGTTTCTAGAATTTCATGTTTACAATTTAGGGTTTCTTTGGGAGTTCTAATTTTAGACTAAGATTGTTTAATTTTGATAATTGGCACAAGTTTAGCTTTCTCATCAAGATCAATTATTCAATTGTGATTCTAATTTATGGGTCTTATTAGAATACTAATCAAGATAACAAAATTTTGTTATTAGTTTAAGCAATTTTAGGCTTATGCTTTATTAGATAAGTTTGAATTAGTAGCGAATAACAAAGTTTGGATTTTTTTTAATTAAGAAACATACCTACTTACATATTGGCAATAAATAATAATCATGATTATCCATAATGCACAATTGACATAGTATGCAGAATATAAGGAGCAAAGGACTACTCAATGTTTTATTAGTTTAAACTTAAGAAATGGTATTAGTGCATGGTTTACCTACTTAGTAATTTTATTTATTTATTTATTATCAGCGAGTTGCAATATGAGGCGTTATTTTAAAAAAGCGACCCCTGGCCCTAGCCCTTCATCATCTGAATCTCTACAAGAGCCATCACTTCACATACTCAAGGTTCCCCTACAAGAATCGACTTGAATGCCCTTCAGCTGACCCTAGAGAGCAACCAAAAATTGAAAGTTACCATCCAAATGACCGAGATGCAGTAAGGAGAGCATATCTTCAAAAAGGCCCTTATCAACCTCGTGATCACACTTTCCAACAAGTTGAATTTGGGGAAAAGATGCATTGCTTCAATGTGGATTGGTTTGGTGAATTTACATATTGGTTGGAATATAGTGTGAAAGAAAAAAACGCTTTTTGTTTATGTTGTTATCTGTTTCAATCTGAAATTAAAAGTCGAGGGGTAAATTCTTTTGTTAATGGAGGCTTTAAGGGTTGGAACAAAAAGGCCCGACTAGAAACTCATGTTTGAAAATTTTCTTAAACTTCTACAGTTTAATGCAGATCGCAATGAGAAAGTGGGTAGTGTTGTGTTGTATACTACCTCTGCAAAACATCAAATTGTTGCCCCTACTATTCAAAAAGATATTGTACATGCTATTGCAAGAGAAACATGCAACGCCATAATTTCAAAAAATGGTAATGATTATTTTGGTATTTTAGTGGATGAATCAGCTAATGTGTCATACAAAGAGCAAAATGGTTGTGGCTCTGCATTTTATTGATGAAAGAGAATTTGTCATGGAGTGATTTATTAGAATTATTCATGTAAAAGATACTTCAGCTATGTCTTTCAAAGCAGCACTTGATTCTTTACTTGCAGAGCATGGATTGAGTTCATCAAGAATACGTGGACATAGTTATGATGGTTATGATGGAGCTAGTAATATGCAAGACGAGTTAAATGGTTTGAAGACTTTGATTATAAAAGAGAAATTTGCATATTGTGTTCATTGCTTCGCTCATCAATTACAACTAACACTCATAGCTGTTGTGAAAAATCATTTTCATGTTAATGATTTCTTTGATGTGCTTGCTCATTTGTTGAATGTGGTTGGAGGTTCTTGTAAACGTGGAGATAAAATTAGAGAGAAGCAGGTGGAGCAAATTGCTGAATCATTACAAAATGATAAGCTTGAAAGTCGAGGGTTGAATCAAGAAATAGCTCCTAAAAGGCCCGCCGATACTCGTTGGGGATCTCATTATAGGACACTACTAAATTTGATGGCTATTTCTCCTCAGTTATTCAAGTACTTGAAGATATTGAAAGACATAGTACATATCAACATCAAAGAAGTGAAGCACATCGTCTCGTGGAATTATTAGAGACATTTGATTTTCTTTTTTTACTTACATTTGATGTTCAAAATATTGGGGATCACAAATGACTTGAATTTGGCATTGCAAAGGAAAGACCAAGACATTATAAAAGCCATGACGCTTGTTGAAGTAGCTAAGAAGAGATTGCAACAAATGAGAGATGAAGGATGCAATCAACTCTTGAATGAAGTTTTTTTATTTTGTAAAAGCATGAGATCTTTATTCCAAATATGGAAATGCATATGTTAGAGGAAGACAATGTAAAATTTCACAAACAACCAATCTACATCGTTGTCAAGTTGACCTATTCTATTTTGTGATAGATATGTAACTTCAAGAGCAAGATGGTTGTTTTAATGAAGATGGTTGTTTTAATGAAGTTAGCAGTGAGTTGCTTCTTTGTGCTGCTTGATTGAGCCCAAATGACTCATTCAATTCTTTTACCGGGGAGAAGTTACTTAAAATGGCCGAATTCTGTCCACATGAATTTTCTAAAATTGAACCCAAATGACTCATTCAATTCTTTTACCGGGGAGAAGTTACTTAAAATGGCCGAATTCTGTCCACATGAATTTTCTAAAATTGAGATCTTGACATTTAAGAATCAACTTGACAATTATATTGTTAATATACATGGAGACATAAGGTTTGCTAATCTAAAGGAGTTGGGTGACCTTTCCAACAAGATGGTGGAGACTAAGAAGCATAATGTGTATCATTCAGCGTAGTTGCTTTTGAAGATGACATTGATTTTAATCATGGCTATGGCAACCATGGAAAAAGCGTTTTCTGCAATGAAGTTGATAAAAAACAACTTGCAAAATAAAATGTGTGATGACCGGCTCAATGATTGCTTAGTGACATATATTGAGAAAGATGTATTTGATAGTGTTACTAACGATGCGATCATGTACTTTTTTCAAAATATGAAAACTTGTTGGAGACAATTGTAATTTTTTTAAATTATTAATTATATAGTGACACCACTTTCTTGAAATCCTAGATCCGCCACTGGGAAAAAATTGTAGGAGAGGAGAAGAAGGCTGAGGTTAACATGAGCACTTTGGGCATTTTTCCAATATTATAGTAAAAAATGTGTGACATTGGGAACATGTTAGCAAATTTAGGTGGTTTCTATTAAAAAAGGCTAAGGTGATAAGTTACAATTTGGATAAAAGTTAAGATGCTTTTCATGTAAAAACCCATAAGAAAAAGTCATGTGCCTCCCCTCGCTTTCCCTCCAACCAAACAAGAAGTACAACAAGTATATCCTTCATTGCACATCACCCCACCTCATCTCCCTTCCTCGTACCCCCTCTGGTGGTGTGTCGTGGATAGTACATAAGACAATCAGCATGACTTCAACAGGAATGAGGGTTCAGCATGGCTTCTACAGGAACAACGGATTATGTTCTTCCTTGTGTAGATA